AGATCTAGGCCCGGGGGCCAGTGAAGAGGTATGATTGTAATCACACATCTCATTAGGACTGGACAAAGCCAAATCTCAGTCCAGTTCTCTGTTTAAAAGATCCCTGATGGAAAACACAGAGGTTTTCTGGGTTTCTGCTGATTTTGTTCAGGTCAGTTTTAGTTGTGCTTTTTAGTCGAGCTCTGTCTTAGGCCCTGCCTTGCATGCGTTTCTGTCTTTGAGTTTCAGCTCTCTAAAGAGAAGGCCTCTTGGGGGGCTCTTCTGCCTCCCAAAGCACCTCCTCCTAGAGTCATTGCAAATAACTCCTGGCAGTCTTTTACTAGCTAATTGGGGATTGAAGTCAAGATTCTTCTGGTGATTTCTAGATTTTTTTTTTTTTTTTTTTTTTTTGCGGCAAAGTCTCACTTTGTTACCCTCGGTAAGGTACCATGGCGTCACAGCTTATAGCAACCTCAAACTTTTGGGCTTAAGTGATTGTTTTGCCTCACCCTCCCGAGTAGCAGGAACTACAGGTGCCCACCACAGTGCCCAACTATTTTTGGTTGCAGTTGTCATTGTTGTTTAGCTGACCTGGGCTGGGCTGAAACCTGCCAGCCTCAGTGTATGTGGCTGGCGCCCTAGTACTGAGCTATAGGCGCCGAGCCTCTAGGTTTTTTTGTTGTTGTTGAAAGAAAATAAACCCAGTTAACCAGTATTTTTTTTTTTTTTTTTTGAGACAGAACCTCTGTTCCCCTCAGCAGACTGCATTGGCATCACAGCTCACAGCAACCTCCAACTCCTGGGCTTAAGCGATTTTCTTGCCTCAGCCTCCCAAGTAGCTGGGACTACAGGCACCCACCACAATGCCTGGCCATTTTTTAGTTGCAGTTGTCATTGTTTGGCTGGCCTGGGCTGGATTCGAACCCGCCAGCTCTGGTGTATATGGCTGGCTCCTTAGCCACTTGAGGCACAGGTGCCAAGCCTAACCAGCGTCTTGAGGTAGTTTTTCCTGCCTTGACCAGATTTTGACAAAGCATGGGATCTGAAAGCTTTATTGCCCCAGGAATTTAGTGAGAGATGACTAAGAGGTTACTAATTGATCTTCGGTTAGATATAACTCTGAAAGATTGGAAGGGAAAAGCTTTCTTGTAAAGAGCGGATAGTTCCTGGTGTCTGCCTTAAGGGAGGCAGTCGAGAGGCTGGTGACTGAGCTGACTCAGGAGTGTGCCAGGTTTTCTGAGCAGCCGGTCCTTGCTGGCGGGAAGAGGGACAGAAGAGCAGTTTCTGGGCACCTCTGGTGCCGACCCCACCCTGTCTGGTCTTCTCCTTAGTCGGGGATGGGGAGCTGGTCAAATGACCCAAACACACATTCCCCCCAGCCAAACGTGCACTTCCCACCAGCCTGGGGGGCAGCAGACAGGGGTCTCAATGTTGACTTTTTGTATGACCTGGCCAAGTCACTTCCCTTCCTGGGCCTCAGTCCCCTCCACCTGCAAAAGGAGGGAAGAAGTCTGGATGGGGTTTGGGCTCTGAATTTGGCTGTGATTGTGCCTTGACTCTCCCTTTCCCTCACATGGAAATGCTCTGTTCTCTTTGCTGAGCTCCAGGTGACGCAAGCCCCTGCCCTCCACCCTCAGACCAACCCATGGCCCAAACCTGAGGCTGAGATTCATGGTTCTTGCAAGTAGGGATGGGACCTCTGCTGTATCCTCTTACCTAAACCCTGTGCCTCTCTCCCCACTCTATTTCACCATCCTGTTACTGCCCTGCCGAGTTCCCTGTCCCATCCCACCCCTTTAGGGAAGAATGGAAGTCCCTCTGGGGCCTGATCCTTGCCACTCCTGGGCTCCTTCAGCTTCCCCTCACTCAGGCTGTCTGGCCCAGGGGGCTTTTGCAAACACTCCTTCTCTCCCTGGAGCCCCTTCTTTTTGCTTCTGGCTTCTGCCTGGTTCCCCTTTAAGACCAAGTGTGTAGTCCCTGACTCTACATGGCTTGATTATTTGTTCATTTATCCCTTCACTTATTCAATAAGTTCTGACCTACTATGTACCTGGCCCTGAGCTAGATGCTGGAGAAGTGGGGACATCTTGAAGTTTCATTGGAGAAGACAGACATTAAGTCAATACTTGGAAGCATTTGAACCTGCAGGTTGCAAGTGTCTTAAACTTGGAGTGCCTTGCCCCTCACACCCTGCTTGGCCAGGTGTCCTTTTTCGGTATTCTCCTGTCAGCCAGCCCACCTGCAGTCACAGCACATGATGGGTTATGGGAAGGGCTGGTTTGTTTTTCCTGTCTTTCTCACTAGGCCATGCCCCCATTCCAGGTATCTGGTAGGTACTCAGTCAATGTTGGTCGAATGAATGGATGAAATGGTGATTTGGATGATAGATAGAAAAATTTTTCTGTAAAATACCCCCCAAATCCTGTAATGAAGCATTTTCCTTACCTTTCACCCAGTGTGCAAGTTTCACTAGAAAGATTCCAGGTATAGCCAGGGCACCTGGAGGTCCTCCTTTGCTTTGCTTGTAGAGAGTAGCAGGTTGATCTCTAGGCCTGTCACTTGCTGTCAGGCCTGCAGAGCAGTTTTCTCCATTGCCTCTGGTCCCGGGAGCCACATGTCACTGGATGCCCAAGTTGATGAGTTCCCATAGCTATGCATGGCAGCTTCCTTCTCGGGGCTCCTTTGCAGGGGGCAGCCGGGAGACCTGGGACCCACACCTGTTGTCTGGTTTATTCATAGCTAGATTTGTTGTTTTGGGTTCTCTCCCACCATCTTGGTCAATTTTTTTTAAATGAAATTAACTCTGCTATATTCAGTTCTGTGAGTTTGGACAAATGCATTGAATCAAGAATATACCACTAAAGTTATGATACAGAACAGTTTTGTCACCCCCAAATTCTCTGGTACTGCCCCTTTGACGTCAGCTGCTCCCCTCATCCTCTGGCCCTGGCAGCCACACATTTGTTTTCTCTTCCTAAAGTTGTACCTTTTCAGAATGTCATATACATGGAGTCGTATGGCATGTAGCCTTTTGGGTCTGGCTCCTTTCCCTTGGCAGCGTGCGTTCTGCATCCATCCATGTTGTGGGGATCAGTGTGCCCCCTTTATGCTGCTGAGTAGCAACCCTGTGTGTGGACGTGCCAGTTTGTCCATCCGTTCTGTTGAAGTATGTTTTGTATTGTTTTTACTTTTTGGCAATTACAAATAAAACCTCTGAAAACATTCACACACAGGTTTTTATGTGAATGGTTTTGTTCCTCTTATTGGACTGTGAAGGCATAGGGTTGCCAGGTCACTCGGTGAGTGTTCGTTTAACTTGATAAGGAACTGCCAGACTGCTTTCTAAGGCAGCTGCTCCGAACTGTATCCCACCAGCAGCTTATGAAAGCTCTTGTTCTGCAGCCTTGTTAGCACTTGGTATTGTCAACTTTTATTTACTTGCTTACTTATTTATTTATATTTAAGACAGAGTCTCACTGTGTCGCCCTGGGTAGAGTGCCGTGGTATCACAGCTCACATCAACCTCCAACTCTTGGATTTAAGCGATTCTCTGGCCTTAGCCTCCCAAGTAGCTGGGACTACAGGTGCCCACCACAATGCCCGGCTATTTTTTGGTCATAGTTGTCATTCTTGTTTGGGAGGCCCGGCCTAGATTTGAACCCGCCAACTCCAGTGTATGTGGCTGGCACCCTAGTCACTGAGCTACAGGCGCCGAGCCAACTTTTAAAAATATTAGCCATTCTAATGAGGCATACCATCTAGCTTTTAATCTGCAGTTTTCTGTCTGACCTCTCAGATTCTGACAGAGTTTAAATATCACTGGATATGATTTGCAAGGCTGTTATCCATACCCATGTGAGAACTGATTTCTTGAGGTGGAATTTGTGGGTGCTTAGAGCAAAAGAGCAACAGAATAATCAAACCTTCCTAAACTGGTTTTTTTCTTTTTTCTTTTTATTTATTTATTTATTTAGAGATAGGCTCTCACTCTTTTGCCCGCGGCTAGCACTGTGGCATCAGCCTCACTCACAGCAACTTGGGCTCAAGTGAGCCTGCCTCAGTCTCCTGAGTACCTGGAACTACAGGTGCCTGCCACAATGCCCAGCTAGTTTTTCTATTTTTAGTAGAGGCAGGGTCTTACTCTTGCTCTGGCTGGTCTTAAACTTCTAGCCTCAATTGTTTCTCTCACCTTGGCCTCCCAGAGTGTTAGGATTATAGGCGTGAGCCACCAAGCCTAGCCCTTAAAATTTTTTGAAGAAAATGTTATACCATTTCATTTTCTAATTTTAGAATTACAAATATTAGCTATTAATTTGGTTAAATTCTTTGTGTTAGAATTGCTATTTGCCAACTACACGCTCACATGAAGGAAAAACATAATTATAGTCTAGTGAGGGGGTAGGGGGAGGAGGGAGGATGACTGGTGAGATATCACCTGATGTGCACAATGTGAGGGTGTTCAGCCTCCTCAACTATAACTTGAACTTCACCTTAGAAATGCAAACAATGTAACGTAAACATTTGTACTCTCATGTTAATCTGAAATTTAAAAAAAAAAAAGACTTGCTACTTGCTTAACCCAACTTGTAGTGAGTAGACACTGCTGATCTTAATTAAAATTTCCTTGATCTCTTTTTTTTTTTTTTTTTTTTTTTTATAGACAGTCTCTCACTTTATCACCCTCAGTAGATTGTTACGGCGTCACAGCTCATAACAACCTTCAACTCCTAAGCTTAGGCAATTCTCTTGCCTCAGCCTCCCAAGTAGCTGGGATTATAGGCACCTACTAGAGTGCCTGGCTATTTTTTTGTTGCAGTTTGGCCAGGGCCTGGTTTGAACCTGCCACTCCCAGTATGTAGGGCAGGCACACTACCCACTGAGCCACAGGCGCCAGCCGAGCTGTTCATCTTAACTCTCCCTTTTGTATGGTAGGCTGTACAGTCTGCATTCGTGAAACATAATATTTTAAGCTCTTCATTTTATTGGTGGCCATAATATATTTTTCCCTTCCCTCTTTCTAGGCTCCTAATCGTCAGCTCATGACTTACTGGCTGCAGGAGCTTCAGCAGAAGAGATGGGAATATTGCAACAATCTTGACATGGTCAAGTGGGACAGCAAGACCTCCCCAGTTCCTGGGGATTTTCCTAAGGGTCTGGTAGCTAGAGATAACACAGGTAAGTCAGAAAAGAAGTAGACCTGTGTAACCTCTTTGTGTATTGCCATTTGACACAGTAAGTCACCTTAGCAGTGAATGGAAATGAATTCAAAAGGAAAATAATGATGAGCCCTTATGAGCGAGCAGCATTCCATAGTTACCAAGTAATTCCATGTATGAATCACATTCAAGTTCAACCATGACCTTGGAGTCAAGTGAGACCAGTGCAGACTAGGTCAGTGCACAGTAAGATGTGGTGTTATGACTCCAGTTCTGACCGCAGGGTCAGCCTGCTCTCCACACACCTGAAGATGAGGTGCTCATGCCCATACATTCATACGGGGGTACACTGGCACTGGTTGACAGGTGTACATTGGGAAGGTATTCTTGAAACATTCTGCTTATGATTACTTGTGATTCTCTAGTGTTTCTAAGGAGGACTTTAGTCCTCAAACACTGATTTCATTCTCTTCTGGATCTGTGGCATTTCTGTAACTTGAGGTAGTCATTCCCAGGCCATTTGCAGTGTGGAGACAATGTAGCTTAATATTTCAATATAAAAAATTAAAACCCTATGATCTTTTCATGATTGATTGTGTAGAGCCCTTTAGAAAGAACAAGACAACAATTATTTGCTGACCACCCTGCCCCCAAAGACTGTGGGGCTGGGATTATTTTTGTGACACCCCCTCCCCCTTCATACAGGAAGAAGAGGCCCAGAAAGAAACAGCAAGGCCTAAAAAGGCCAGGGCATTATACTAGCATTTGTTAAGGACTTCAAGAGTACACACTAAAATTTAAACCAGTTGGGTTGGTTCTAACTTTTCCGTACAGAGATGTAGTCTGCACATGATAAAACCCTTGGGACCCTCTGCTCAGCAGTACCAGGCCTACATCTGAGTTCCCAGTCGCACCAAGAGGGTATTGGCAGATATGCAACCCATTTGTCCCAGAAACAAATGCCCTCCTAGAGTTTAGTTTTTCTTATCCAAATTTGCCAATTTTGTTTTTACTATTCACAGTATTTTTCAGCAGCTTATTAACCCTCTGGTCGGTGAGAAGTTATTGTATCTGTATCTGTTGATAGGTTCTCGTATGAGAATTCCCAAGTCATTTTCGTGGCTGTCTTGGCCTTCTGAATAAGAGCTGAGCAGAGGCCCTTTTTCAAGTGTATGTCCCCTCTATATTTAGTTCAGAATTCTTAGTCATTGTTGAACAAGTTTTTTTTTTTTTTTAAAGCTGCTATGATAGTGGCTTTTCATCAGAAGAAGCTCTATGACTCAGTATCTAAGTCATCTGGAGCATTTAGAAACCCCGTAGGGCAGCAGTTCTCAACCTATGGCTCGCAACTCACGGGAACTGTATTAAAGGGTTGCGGCATTAGAAAGGTTGAGAACTACTGCTGTGGGGAAACCGACAGTCTCCATTATGGTGGCTAGTGCCTTTGGCATAGAAGATGCTTTATTCTGAGGACACAAAATAAGGCTCAAGTTTAATGTTAAACTGAAAGGAGGGCAAAGAAGTAGCACCTAGTCCTGTGATCTGTCTGTGACACTTGTCTTTCTTTTAAGCTAGATTGTGCTGACTAGAGAGCCAGAGAAAGCATCTGAAGCTCATGTTTGGTTCTCTTGCTTCGGTTTCGGGTCTTACCATCTGACATTGTTCATTCATTCACCACAGTAGGCACCCACAATAAGCTTGGTCCTTTCCCTCTCAGAATCCTTTCGTAGGTCCTTTCCTAGTCTAGCAGGTGGTCTTGCAGAGACAAAGTGAGATAAGTGTGAGGGAAGAGGAAGTGCAGGATATGGGGCTGTGAGTGGTCCGAGCTAGGCTCCTGCTGGTCAGGGACCTCTCTGAGGAAGTGACATCTAAGCTGGGGCCTGGAGGCACACCCAGGCCTGGAGCCAGAGCCACGAGAGACTCAGCTGTTTCAGTGGTGCAGTGCCTTAAAGATTTTATGGATAGGAGTGACTTTTGACATCTACCAAGTGATAGTGAGTAAGAACAAATAATGAAACTTTGGACCACGGAGCAATCTGTGGAACTGTAATAGATCAGGAAGTCAAAAAGTCTAAAACAGGAAGTCAAGAACAGACTGTGTTTCAGCCCCTTTTGTTTCTTCATCAGATAAAAACTGGTTAAGAGGTAATTGTGCTGTGTTGTGTGGCAGTGTGGGGGTGGTTTCTGAACCTGCGTCTGGAGTTATCTGCTCAGCTTGCTAGCTAACCTTGCTAACTCTAGCCAGAATTGAAGGTGAGGCCAGTGCCTATAATCCTTCGCTCTGGGAGGCTGAGGTAGGTGGTTTGCTTGAGCTCAGGAGTTCAAGACTAGCCTGAGCAAGAGCGAGAGCCCCATCTCTACTACAAAAAAAAAAAAAAAAAAAAAAAAAAACTAGCCAGGCATTGTAGTGGATGCCTTGTAGTCCCAGCTACTCAGGAGGCTGAAGCAAGACGATGGCTTGAGGCCAGGAGTTTGAGGTTGCTGTAAGCTCTGACACTATGGTGCTCTACCTAGGACATTGGAGTGAGACTCTGTTTCAAAAAAAAGAATTGAAAATGAATGTTTTTGTAACTCTTGATTTGCATTAAAAAATAAAACCTTTTCCTACTATTGTTTCCTAGTCATGCAGTTTGGGAACATTTTCATTTGTAGTTTAGAACATTTTCATTGCATATGCTGTCACCCATCAGGATCTTCCTAGCTCCTAAAGCCATTGTGGGGGAAGACATAGAGAATGACCATTTTGCTTTAAAAGCCAGTTGTATATCTTAGAAGGCAGCTGAGAGTCTTGACTCTGATGTCTACTGTAGTAGTTGTCAGAATCTGAGTACTTGTCTTCTGGTTCAGGGGTGGTGTACTATGCCCCATGGAAATGAAATTGGTCTACCTTCCTTCATGGTTCTGTTCTGAGAGTCACATGGGAAACTACATTATTATGTGTAAAGAGCCATATGTAAGATGATACCATTTTGAATAGGTTAGGATTATGTTCACCTATAGTTAACAGGAAACCTGGACCACAGCGACTTACAAAGAGGTACTTGCTGTCTCATATGATAGGTAGCTCGTGGCTGGCTCAGCTACTCACTGTGCCATTGAGAGACCCTAGCTGTTTCTAAACTTTCTCTTCTCCATCCCTAGAGTATTTTTCCTGACTCATGCCAGTTGCCCACTGGGTGGCACCTATACCAAAGAGGAAAACGCTTTCCCAGAAACCCCAATAGGGCACTGTCACATAATTGCCTATATATAGATTTTAGAATCCATGTCTTCTGAGATAGACAGTTGTTTGACTGTAACCTGCAGCTTTGTGTTAGTAGTAGTCAAGAATCAGAGAATGGGATAAATTTGTAGTCTGCTTACCTTTTCTGTCATCTTTCCATTCTGCAGCCCAGCCAGAATTAGGCCTTGCCTCAAATGCCATTCTACGTTAGCTTCCCTGTTTGGATAGATAAAGACCTAGTTTCAACACAAAAGAATAATTTGCAAGCCTGGGGAGAATGGCTCAAGCCTGTAATCCCAGCACTCTGGGAGGCTGAGACAGGTGGATCCCTTTGGATCCCTTTCGCTCATGAGATCAAGACTAGCCTGTGAAAGACTAAGACCCCCCATCTCTACTAAAATAGAAAAAGTAGCTGGGTGTCATGGTGGGTGCCTATAGTCCTAGCTACTTGAGAAACTGAGGCAGGAGGATCTCTTGAGCCCAAGAGTTTGAGGTTGCTATGAGCTATGATGATGCCACAGCTCTCAACCCAGGGCAATAGAGTGAAACTCTGTCTCAATAATAATAATAATTTGTGAAGATAAAATCAAGGGTGCACAGACCTTTGTAGCTGTTGAGAATGAGATGACAGAACCCAAGGAGGTATTGATAAATAGCTAATAGCCTCATTCCAAGATGCATGTCTAGCATAGTCCGTCTGCTTCATTCCCCACATAACGTAGTACAAAAACAAGCCGGGGATAGTGAGACCCTGTTCTTAAGACTTCCTGAGGGTTCAGGAACCCCGAAGCACTCACAATCTTAGCCAGCTTCAGTGCCTAAGTACCTGTTTGAATATGGATGGTGTTTCTTGCAGAATATTGTATTGTGAAGTCACCCCGAGGGGTGACCACACATTTCCTCTTCTGAAGCAGCTGCATCAAATTGTTTAACTGTCGCACTCTTTTTTTTTTTTTTTTTTTTTTTGGTGCAGGTTTTGGCTGGGGCTGGGTTTGAACCTGCCACCTCCAGCATATGGGGCCGGCGCCCTACTCCTTGAGCCACAGGTGCCGCCCTAACTGTCGCACTCTTAACAGCTTATGTGTGAGGAAAGGGTGGAGGGTTGGGGGGTTGGCTGCTCCTTCTGTTCCCAGAGCAGCTTGTGTGGGGTCCTGGGCTGCCAGAAGGGAAACCACAGGGTGGAATGCACACCCAGGTTAGCAGTGCCACTGTGTCACGTGTTGTTGGATGTCTTGTCCCATGAAGTGATCAAAGCTGTGTCTCTGTGCATGACGTGCCTTATTTCAAAGTGTCTGTTGTGGTCGTTATCAGCTGTGTATCTGAGAGGCAGCATGATTTGGTGGAGGAGGTTTATGGGACCTTGAGCACATCATGGTTGCCCCATCTGTGAGCCAGCTTCCTCTGGTATGAAGGTTCTATGAAAGCCAGGCCATGAAAGGTCACAGCTGCATGGGAGGGAAGCCAGGCAGGAGGGGCTGAGTGGGGTTAGGTCCAGCTCTGGGAGGACCCTGCTGGAAGCTCACAGAGAAGGTCTTAAAGGGGACTGTTGGGAACAGCCCTGGGGTTTGGTGCCAGCAGAGACAACCTCAGCCTCACCCTGGTGGGACTTGGTCCAAGTGAACTCAGGGCCACCGTAGCTGTGGATGGGGTGAGGATGGCAGCTGAGCTGGACTGCAGGACAAGCAAGGAGTGAAGAGAGAGAGGAGGGAGTCGGTGTGAACCTCCCACCCTTATTCAGGGACTGTGTGAGGTGAGGTGGCAGGAGAAAGGGAAGTAGGAGGGCTGATGAATGTAAACCCACTGAAGAGCTGCAGAGGCCTCTGTTGCCTCCTGCCCTGCTTCCTTAGCTGGGCCTTCCTGCCGTGCCACACGAGGGAGTGACTTTTTACTTGTTCATTCAGCCACTTGCCAACATTTATTGGGTCCCTCCTCCATGCCAGATGTTAGGTTAGCAAATCAGACAGGTTCAGTGTGACAGATTTGTGTCCTTGGTGATGGGTAGAGAGGGCAGACAGCCAAGGAATTAACTAGACTCATGGACTGATGCACCTGGGGGCTCTGAGTCCTGACTTGCTGCCCCTGGTTTTTGATGCTTAAATGTCGCTGTGCCCCCTGACCACTCCTCACAGTCTGGATTAAAACTCACTTGATAAAAAATAGTCAGAATAGCCTCACCCTGTCCTCCCCCACCTCCTGCTGGTGACTTCCAAACTCATTTGCAGTGCCCTGTGAGGCAGGTGGGAACTTTCTCTGGTACCTGCTGTGGCCCTCAGTTGGGTCTTATGGGAGCTCTGCCACAGCCTGGGCTCTGCTCTCCACAGGCAAGAAGCAAGAGAGGAGAGGGAGACGAGCTGAGGCCATCCAGATGTGAGTAGAAACTGCCCCATGTGGGAGAGTCCCAGCACTCGGCACTGTTAGGTGGGAAGGGAAGCTGAGACTGGAATTAAGAGTTGTCACATAAGCATTTGAAAAAAAAAATTTTTTTTTTTGAGACAGAGCCTCAAGCTATCCCCCTGGGTAGAGTGCTGTGACATCACAGCTCACAGCAACCTCCAACTCCTGGGCTCAAGCCAGTCTCCTGCCTCAGCCTCCCAAGTTGCTGGGACCACAGGCACCCGCCACAGCGCCTGGCTATTTTTTGGTTATAGCTGTCATTGTTGTTTGGTGGGCTCAGGCTGGATTCGAACCCGCCACCTTAGGTGTATATGGCTGGCGCCTTAGCCACTTGAGCCACAGGCGCCGAGCCCATTTGAAAATGTTTTAAAAGAACAGAGAAGGTGTAAACACCAGAACCATCTAGCACAGAGTTTCTCTCCCCAGTGAGCCTGCAGGACAGAGGCCATGTTTATGAACACAGGTCCATCCTCTTAAAATCTTTGAGGAAATGTTGCCATGTCCTAGTTTGTGTTCCCTGAATGTCCTTCCTGAGGCAGCCTCTGAATACTAATGTTGGGACACAAATTGAGGAGAAGCCAGCAACTCTGCATTTAATTAAATAAAACTCACATAGTCTTTTAAGTACCAAAAACCAGACAAAAAAGACAATCACAGCAAACGTGCACTAAGCTGGGGAGTAGTAGCTTCTTTTTCAAGTTAAGTTAGAAATTCTTTCTCCAACAGGTACTTTCCTGGTCTCTGGTCCCTTTTCTCCACCCCACCCCCAGGGCACTGAGCTGCACAGGAAGTGTTTCCAGTGTGGGCTGTGGGTTGCTGCGAGGCCTGAGGTTTTCTTGGTAATAGACGCTTTGCCACAGAACATTTGACAACCCAGGCCCACCAAGAAGCCATTTGTCACCTTGCTGCCAGCCCACACAGGAAGGAGAAGCTGGACTTGCTGTAATAGGAATGAAGACAGTTTGTTGAGTTAATATCCCAGCTGGGCTTAGAATTGCAATGCTTTGCTGGTGGCAGGTCTGTGAAGACCAGCCTTCGGAAACTGAGCACCAGGTGGACCTTTTCAACAACAAGTCCAGTGGTTTATAATGGCCATGTAACACTTGTGTGCCACAGGCCAGGTGACTGACTGGGCTCTGGCCTGGCTCTGGGCTTCTGTCTCCTGACACAGTAGATAGGGAGACTGGACTAGATTGTATGTGGTTGAACTTTTGTTCCTTTTGTTTATTGGAACCCATTTTCCAAATGGACTCTAATCTTTTTCTTCTCTTTCTTTTCTTTTTTTTGAGATAAGGTCTCATTTTGCTGCCTAGACTAGAGTGCAGTGGTATCACCATAGCTCACTATAGCCTTACACTCGTGGGCTTGAGTGATTCTCCTGCCTCAGCCTCCCAACTTCTTGCTTCACAGTCTTGTATTCCATTCCTGAGCCTATGATTCTTCTGTTCCCCAGGATGCTCTCTTGCTTTTCCTAGTCAGAACTCTGCTTGGAAGCTGTGTACTGACTTTCCTGGCCATAGACAGGTTCCCTAACAGATGCATAGCCATCACTTTTTTTGTGTCACGCCCAAGACACCTTCCCAGTGTGTTCTCAGAGCTTTCCCCACACTGACCATGCTCAAGGTAGTAACCTGCCTTCCAAGTGCAACCTGTTGTCAAGAATTCCCATTCAGGACAGTGCTCCTACGGCCTGGGCAGCCCGGGACGCCCTGTGCTCTGTCTTTACCAGGGCTCAGTGACCTTCACAACAGGGACCTGAGCCCACTGACTCTGATTGTGTGCCTGTCTGATTAGAAACTAACTTTTTCTAGAACACTGGTGGTTAGCAGTTCAATTCTGATTTTGTTTTCGCAGAAAGAGTGGTCATTGATCTTCTTGATACAGAAATGTTTTATTAAAAAAAGTCGTAGGTCACACTGATTATTGTAAAGTAATACTACATCTTGTTTGCCGGTGTGCCCTCTTCTCAGATTATGTCAGTTGGAAATGTTTTTGTCAAAACATGTTTTTCGGCCGGGCGTGGTGGCTCACGCCTGTTGTCCCAGCGCTATGGGAGGCTGAGGCGAGTGGATCGCCTGAGCTCAGCCCAGTTCGAGACCAGCTAAAGACCAGCGTGAGGCAGAGTGAGCCAGAGTGAGACCCCATCTCTACAACAACAACAACAAGACAGCCAGACCTTGTGATCCCATCTACATGGGGGCCAAGAGACGCTACAGGAGGAAGAAGTAAAAAAAAAATTAAAAACAAACAAACAAAAAACCCCATGTTTTTCATGGTCGTTTTATGATGAGAAATTTTAAACATAGGTGGAAATAAAACAGATAATATTGCCTCCATGTTTATTAGGCAGTCCTTTCTTGTTTCATTGATACTCCTGTCCACTTAATTTTGTTATTTTGAAGCAAATATTATTTTGTTAAGTAACAATTGTTATTTCGAAGTAAATTCTGAACATATTGTTTTAACCTTAAGTATTTCAGTTTCTATTTTAAAGATACTGTAAAATTTGATTGATTGTACTTTAGATTCAGTGTGTTTGCCTATAATTTACTAAAATGCTATTCTGTGACATGCAAACTTAATTTTCTCATGTTTATATTCTTCCCACTTACTTAGAAAAAAGGGAGTGTAGAATAATCTGATCTTCACTTTGCTTTTATTCTTTTTTTTACCTAACAGTTTATCCTGGAAATTGTTTATTATCAGTACTGGTGAGTGGACCTTGATCCCAGGTTTTTGCAAGGTTTACTGATTTACAAGACTAGAGGAAAATTCTACCCTCTTCTCTGCCTGGGCCAGCACTGTTAATGCTTGTGGTTTAAAGCGTATCACAACCTATGTTTCTTTGAGAAACATAGATCTCTTTAGGTGAAAATGGTTTCAGAGCACCAAAGCTACTCACATTATATATTTATATAGTAGATATTAAAAATATGCCATTAAATATATATAGCTATATATTGGTATAGTTTAGATTCCTTTCTTTCCCCTCCCTCTCTCCCTTTTCTTTCTCTCCTTCCTTCTTCCTTTTTCTTTTCTTTTCTTTCCTTTTGCTCCTCTTCCCTTCCCTCCCCTCCCCCTCCCTTTTCTTTCTTTCTTTCAAGACAGGGTCTTGTTTATAACTCACAGCAAACCTCAAATTCCTGGGCTCAACTGATCCTTTTGCCTCAGCCTCCTAATTGGACTGCAGGTGCACACCACCATGCCTGGCTAATTTTTCTAATTTTTGTAGAAATAGTTTCATATGTTGCTTAGGCTGGTCTCAAATTCCTGATCTCCAGCCAACCTCCCACCTTGGCCTCCCAGAGTGTTAGGATTACAGGCGTGAGCCATTGCACCCAGCCTAGTTTAGATTTCTGTATAGTATATTGAGTCATTGTCTTATGTAGGTTGTTAAAATTTGTCTGGAAACATTGAGTAACTGACATTTGTTTGTCTTTCTTTCAGATTTAATCTATCAGCACCCTAATGCTTCTGCAGAAACAGCCAGAAATGTCTTGGCTGTGGAGACTACGCCTGGAGAGCTGGTGGGAGAACAAGCTGCCAGCCAGCCCACCCCTGGGCACCCAAATGCTATCAACTTTTACTCTTTGAAACAGTGGGGCAATGAGCTCAGGTAAGTCTCTGGAAAGTGGCATATGAAATTGAAATTGGATCATTTCTGATAATGTATGTTATCATTTTATAGATGAAGTTATAAAACCACCTCACGTGGTTTTGTAAAGGTCTCTGTCATTTACTGTGTACTTTCCATAGGTGACTAGCTTGTGTCATGCACCGTATACCTGTCTGTTCCGTGTGTGACTCTGTGCTAGACGTTTTCACACTCATGGCTTAGCTGCTTGACTCTGAGGTAGGCCATATGGTTGCCATTTTACAGAGACTGAAACTGGCTGAGGGGGTGTATGTCACAAGGCTCCAGACTGCGGAGCTCAGGCTCCCCTTTGGGCCTGGCCCTGCCTCCCCAACACTGGGACTGGCCGTCCCATGCTTTGGACATCCTGCTGTGCTTGAGCATGGGCTGTGAGAGTAGAGGTGGGGGGTCTCTCTCTGTCTCCCAGGCTAGCTCACAGCAACCTCAAAGTCCTGGGCTCAAGTGATGCTTCTGGCTCAGCCTCCCGAGTTGCTGGGACTACAGATGCCATAATGCCTGGCTAATTTTTCTGTTTTTAGTAGAGACAGGGGTTTTGCTCTTGCTCAGGCTGGTCTCAAATGCCTGAGCTCAAATAATCATCTCACCTAGGCTTCCCAGAGTCTGGGGATTGTAGGCATGAGCTATCACACCCAGCCTTTTTTGTTGTTTTAAAGGAAAGCTTTATTGAGGTGTAATTCACATACCATACAGTTCATTCATTTAAAATGTACAGTTCAATGGTTTTTAGTATATCCATAGTTTTGCAGCCTTCACTACAATTTTTGAACGTTTCCATCACCCCAAAGAGAAACTATCCATGCCATTTTCTTCCCAGTAACGACTAATCTATTTTCTGTCTCTATGAATTTGTTTATTCTTGACATTTCATATAAATGGCACCAAACAGTGAGTGGTTGTGCTGGCTTCTTTCACTCAGCATAATGCTTTCAAGGTTCATGCATGTTGTATCATGTATCAGTATTTCATTTCCATTTATGGCCAAGTACAAATAAATTCCCTTGTATTTTGTTTTTCTGTTCATCAGTTGGTGGGCATTTGGGTTGTTTCTGCTTTTTGACCATTTATGAATGATGCTGCTATGAACACTGGTGTACAGGTTTTTGTGTGGACACATTTTCATTTCTCTTGGATATTTACTGGGGGTGGAATTGCTGAGTGACATGCTAACTCCATGCATAGCCTCTGAAGGAACCAACAGACTGTTTTCAGCTGCACCATGTGACAGTTCCACCAGCAGTGTATGAGGGTCCCAATTTCTCCCGATCCCCTCCAGCACTTGTTATGATCTGTCTTTTTGATCTTCATCATCCTAGGGGGTGTGAAGTGGGATCTCGCTGTGGTTTTGATTTGCATTTCCCTATTGACTAATGATGTTAAGCATCTTTTCGTGTGCTTAGTGGCTATTTGAATATCTTCTTTGGAGCCATAATTATTCAGATCCTTTACCCATTTTTAGTTGCATTGTCATTTTATTTTATTTTATTTTATTTTATATTTATTTATTGATTTATATTGAGACAGAGCCTCAAGCTGTCACCCTGGGTAGCATCACAGCTCACAGCAACCTCAAACTCCTGGGCTTAAGCGATTCTCTTGCCTCAGCC